GGGGGGGGGGGGGGGGGGGGGCCATGGACTCAAGACTTAGACTGGTACCTCTCAGGGAAAGGCATCACCCTGGGGTATAAATAGCAAAGGAGGATCGAGTTTCCGGGAGGGAGAGCCTGGCCCCAACTCTTACCCTGGAAGCTGAAGGAAGCCTTCGGACCTCCACCAGGTGTCTGCAGCCGGGAGTTCTCCGCCTCTAGGAGGGTCCTGGGGATGAGGGAGCGGAAGCTGGCTCAGCCCTCTGCCCACAGGCCTGCAGGCAAGCCCGCCAGGGAAAACCCTGGCGCTGCAAACCTCTTCATTTTCACCAGGTCCATGCAAAAGCCACAGAGGGGGCTCTACAGGCTGTGTCCATGAAATCCCATGAAAACCCAGCCATCACACACTTGGTCACACACATATTTGGGACACACAGCTGGGCTCACAGACACACAAGCAGATTCCCACACAGCAGACTCAGTGTACACACACCCACATGTTGCTTAGGCCTGTCTCCCCCTCCCTACCCCAGGCCAATGACCTCATCCTCGGGGTGGGGGGGCCATTCTCATGCTAATGGCTCCCATTGTCCACAAGCCATCTGGAGGGTCTGAGGAAGGGGCTTCCCAGGGGAAGTGGGAATTCTCGGGCTGTTCCCATGGGATAGTCTCCCTCCTCCTCCTCCCCCAGGGCCCCCAGAGCTAGTCACAGACAAAAGCAAAAGAATTCTGCTCCCTCTCTCCAAACCCTTTTCATGCCTCAAAACCCAGAGGTTAAGCCTGCCCAGACCCCTCCCCTTAGTGGTGTGATTGGGGTCAAGGCCCTCATCTCAGGGACCTCTAAGTACTCCGGATCACCAGCCTTCCAGCGCAACGGGGGGTCTTTGTGCCCAAGCCCCTGCCTCAGTGCCCCATGGGGACTGAGGAGGTAGGGACCAATAGGTGGAGGGGGGACCAGTCAATTCAGCAGGTTCCGCTCAGCAGCAACTCGCGGCTCTTCCTCGTGACCCACGCCTGGTTGGTATGGTCTGCGGGCTCACCTCCCTCCTTCCACGCAGCACTCTGCCCTCTGAGCTCCTGCAGCTGCTCCTTTCTCATCTCTGGGTCGTTACTGACCTTCCTCCCTGGGCCCTGCCTACCCGCCCCATCCCAGGAGGCCTATCTTTGTCAGTGGATTCTGGGGGCATGTCCTCATAGCCCACCCAGCCCTGGCCCTCACCCTGGGGGCTTGGTGGATGCAGCCCTTCACGGTGGCAAGGCCCCCTTCCTCGGGCTCCATCCCTGGACCCTCAGCCAACTAGGCCGGCATCCCAGAAGAGGCTGTGAGTTTGTGCAAAGCCACACAACCGAAGAAGCAGCAGCACCTGCTCAGTCGGAGCCTTTCCAGAGCCAGCGGGGAATGCGGCCAGTAGGGCTGGGCAGGGCCAAGGGACTGGGGCTCCAGAGGACTCAGGACCCAAGACATTCAGGATGAAAGTGGCCTTGGATGTCACCCAGCCCATCTTCTGTCAGTGCAAGCCAGTGCCACCGTCCCACACCTGCAGTTCCTTTCTGAGGTTGCCCAAGGCGGTGCCCCCTTGGCATGGGCACACAAGATGAGGTAAGGGTCTGGACGTGTCCACCCTCTCTCCTCGGCTGTCCCACTCAGCAACATCACCTCTCCTTGGGGGATTTCCTGGGCACAGGGTACTTTCCTGGTCCTGACCCCATGGGGGAGCAGTTGGGCTCGGGTGGGACCTGTCTTGGTGTGAAAGGGATCAGCCTGGAGTCACAGAACCTAGTGGTGACAGAGCCGCATCCACTGTGACTCTGGACCCAGTCAGCTGAGGAGCCTCTGCCCCCGCATGTGTGTGCACCTGTGTGCCAGGCGGGTTGGGCTCAGCCCATACCTGTACGTGGCCACCTCCAGGCTGAGGGACATCTTGAGGTGTGCCAGCTGCTGCCGACCTTCCAGGATCTGGGCAATCTGACTCTGGAGGCCCTGTTTCTCCTGCTCCAGGGCCCCCACGGCCAGCTGCAGAGCAAGCCAGAGGCAGTCAGTGAGGGCGGGAGCCTGCCTGCTGACTAACCTGCACCCACCCCTACCCCAGGGCTGCTGCACCTTCTGCCCCTGACGGAGCTGTCTGCCCAGCAGATTCGAGAACCCCCTCGCAGCCTCCCAGAGGAGCAGGGGCCCCTCTCAGCCTCTCCCACGGCCAGGCTCCTCCTCTGAGGATGCTGATTAAGTGGCTGCACATGCTCTCAGAATTCAGCTCCCACAGGAAGGGGGGCGTGGGGGAAGCTGGGTTACAGAGGAGATGGGTTACAGAGAGCAGGAGAGGAAAAAAAGTGGAAGCAGAAGGAAAAGCGATTAATCAAGAGGCCTGGAGCCCGCAGGACTGGGAGCCAAACGGCCCTGGTCCCAATCAGTGTCTGTTGCTCCTCACACCAGGCCCCCACCCCCGCCACTTCCCACATGTTCTGGAATCTCTCTTCTGAGAGGAGGGGTAGGGAGGTGGCCAAGGCGGGACCTCTGTCTGGCCCAGGCAGGGGGCTGTTTTCTCAGCTGCTGGTCACATCTGCGCAGTGTGTGTGTGTGTGTGTGTGTGTGTGTGTGAGTGTGTGTGTATGTGCAGCTGTCCCAGGCTTCTGGAATGTACTCAGGGAGTCCAGAAGCCACGACATGGACAAGAGCGGGCGGCCCCTCATCCAGGGCCCCTCACCCCCACCTGTCGGAGGAAAGAGGGTGGTTTGGAACTTGGAGATTGACACTCAGCGCTGAGAGGGAAAGTTCTGGGCATCTTGCGAGTGACAGCAGAGCCTAGGGAGGGCCCCAGGGGCGTCAGAGTCAGAAGGTGCCGTCTGGACAGTGCGGGGGGAGGCTGCTACAGAGTCTTGGGCCTGTCTGCCCTCCCAGGGGGTGTGATTTGAGAGGGCTCTGAATCCCATCATTCCCACCCTATTCTAAAGGGAGTCACGAAAGTCTAGTGCCTCTGGCACCGGCTCTGCGTTTCCTAAGAAGTGGTCCCTTAATGGCCAGCCACCCCCACGCCCCACTCTCTTCCCGAGGAGGTCTCTGAGCCGCTAGGGACTTTGCCAAGACTAGTCTCCCAGCCCCCGCGCCTCCTCACCTGGAACTTCTCAGTGGCCCGCAGCCGCTCCTGCCAGCGGCCCTCCAACCTCTGCTCCAGGGCTTCCCTGCGCTCCTGGAGGCCGCCGCGCTCGGCCTGCAGCTGCTGCAGCTCCAGGCGCCCCTCGCGGGCGCCCTGCACCACGAGGCCCAGCCTCTGGCGGGCCTGGCCCAGCGCCGTCTCCATGCGCGCGACGCGCTCCTGGTAGCCGCGCACCGCCCCGCGCCACGCCTCGCCCAGCCGCAGCGCCAGCTCCTCCACGTCGGGGCCCGGGGCAGGCGGCCCGCGGGGCGGGCCGGGCGGGCCGGCGCGCTCCTGCTCGTGCGCCGCGCGCAATGCCTCTATCTCGCGCTCCAGCTCCGCCGCCCGGCGGCTCAGCCAGGCCTGGGCGCACTTCTCCGCCTCGACCGCGCGCCGGCTGCGGGCCAGCTCCTCCGCCGTCCGCTCGCGGGCCAGCCGCTGCTGCTGGCACCGGCCCGCTACGCTCTGCACCTCTTCCTCCAGGCTGTCGCGCTCCACCTCTGCCGCGTGCTTCTCCCGCCAGCGCTGGTCGACGAGAGCCCGCAGGGCCGCCAGCTCGTCGTCGGCACGGGTCCGCCAGGAGGCGTCCCCGGACTGTGCCCGGAGACCGGCGAGCTCCGAGCTGAGCAGCTCATAATGCTCCTCCAGCGCCTTGACCCGGGCCAGGTAGGCCTCCAGGCGCCGGTTGAGCCCCCACATCTGTAAAGATTCCTCCCCCAGGCAGCCCTCCATCCTGACCCACCGAAGGTGGAGAGACGCGGGGTACCGGGAGAAGCCAGCGGCTCCCAAAGCGTTTAGGACGTAGGGCGTAAGGGAAAAGGGACGGATGAGGACAATGACAGGGCGGGGCAAGGAGCAGCCCGAGCGACCCAGAGTCGGGAGTGGGAGCGAGGCTATTCATACTCCCGCCAGGCTGGCGGGGGGAGGGGGGAAGGGGCGGGACCCAGGCCTTAACCCCTTAGAGTTTAGAGGAACAGCCGCAGCCTCGGTTCCTGCCGCAGGGTGTGCCGGATGGAGAGTGGAACTGAAGGAGAATCTGATCCGATGGTGGTGGCTTTGGGGGGGTGGGGGTGGCGGGAGAACGGGTCATAACCCCAGGTAAAAGCAGATTATGCACAGAACTGAGCCTGGTGTGGAGAGGGGGAGTGCCAGGGGATTCAGGCCTGGGAGAGGACGCGAGTATCAGCTACTCTGCACACCCAAGAAAGTTATCACTTGCTGAATTCCTCTAAGACTCAGTTTCTTCATCCACAAAGTGGGAGCAATGATGGAACTCTCATGGACTGTGAAAGGACAGATGGGGCCATGTTTTTTTTGTAAATAGCAAATGCTCACCCTCCTGAAATACTGGCAGAGAGAGGTAAAAGACACACTGCCTGGGAAACCGGAACAGATAGGTCCTATTGGGAGACGCCGCGCGTGCACACCCTATGGCCCCAGCTTCCATCAGGAAACAGATTGCACGACAGGATACTTTCCCCATTACTCACCTCCATCCTTCCTGCAGCTCTTCCACGCTGCCTGAGGTTCACACACCCACATCAGGTAGTCCAAGGCCTCCCCCACTTCTCAGGGATCGGCGCCTCATCCTGTCGGAGGTGTCAGGGACTTTTGGGCAGAGGACGCCCTCTGGTGGCTTACCCAGTTGAGCAGACAGCAGCCGCTCCTTCCGTTATCACAACTAGCCCAGATTCATTGAGCCTCTGGGATGAGCCAAATCACCTTGTACCATTCTACTTACATTAACTGACTGAATCCTCAAAACACCCCTTCGATGGCTCTACGTTTTCAGGACGCCAACGGCTCACCGAGGGTGGGAGTAGCTGGGAAGGCCTTCTGGAGGGGGAGGGGTCCTTGAGCTGGGCGGTAAGGGACAGGTGAGGCTGGGCGGGAGAGGGAGTCAGGGATAATGAGACTGAGGGGATCTTGGGGAAGGAATTTCTGCTCACAGAAATCATAGAACACCAATATAGTAGGTGTTCATTGAGCACCTACTATGCGTCAGCACTGTGACCCAGCCCTGGAGAAACTCACATTTTGGTGATGTGAAGGCAACAGTAATGGGCGTTCATAGTCTAGGGGTGGGGTAGACATAATAAGATGATTGTACCGCTTAGCTCCCAAAGTGTCCGCAGCGAGCTGAGGGAGCACGGAGAATGGAGAGGGCTTTCTGCAAGGTCAGTGACCTCTCAGCAAGGTCAATGACTCATCCCCAGGCCAGCTAGGGTTCAGGATTCATTACCAATATGTGAAATGGAGGCCAGGAGGGCCTGTGGGCACGTGTGTGTGTGTGTGTGTGTGTGTGTGTGTGACGATTTTTCAGCTTCACATCACTTCACAAACCCTGCCGTTATGTTTGGGCTGGGGGCTCCCCAAGGGTGTGTTCTGGAGAGCTAACCAGGGTCCCTCCCTCCTCTCCTCTCCACCTCGCTGTGGGAAGAGATGCTGAATACTTGGGATCCCCTGGGATCCTTGAGGGGGTCCTGTGGAGAGGTGGGGTGACATGGGGGTGAAATCCTCTCCTGGGTCCCTCATTCTAACACAGAGGAGGGGCATCTGTGTCTCGTGCAAAGAACAGCGGGTCTGACTTCTGAACTTTCCAGCTGAATGACCTTGGGCAAATCACAGAGCTTCTCTAAGTGAGCCTCAGTTTACCTACTTGGTAAAGGCAGTTAATACTTACCCGTGCCTATAAGTTTGTTTTATGAATCAAACAAGACCAGTTGTAGGAGGCCTTTATACAAAGCCTGGGGATCATCACCGCGAAAACCATTAAGCTAGAGCAAACCAAACACTCCTCTGGCGAGCCGCTGTGGATGAGGCTTGGAGATCATGGGGGGCAGTGACGGTCCAGGATGAGGGAGAAGAGTTGGTTGTCCTAAGGCAGGAGAAGGTGGGTTCCAGCGAACACTGCCTGTGGGAGCTGCATCAATGTTTAGCAGATTCGAAGCAGACGACATTTGAGGCCATGAGGAATGAGAAAAACGAGGCCTGGCAGGGGCCCGGCCTGCTCCGCTGGCCTCAGCTCCCCCCAGCTTGCACCAGACTACAGGGACTCTTATGAGGTCTTTGGCTGCACATCTTGTGTCCCTGGGCTCAGGACACATGGGCCAGGTGACACTACACTGGCAGGTGCAAAGGTCGGTAGCCGTCCCCAGAGATGTCCATGAGCAAGCTGAGGAGAGCTCTGCGGGAAGTCCCACCAGGTTCTGTCCTTGGTCCTGACTGTTACAAGCTTTTATTTTTTTTATTATTTTTTTTTTTTTAAAGATTTTTTATTGGGGAATTGGGGGGATGGGAACAGTGCTGGGGAATTGGGGGAAGGGG